AGCATTCTGTTTTTTAAAGACATTACTAAGCCTTGAACAAACGTAGAGAGGAACATTTAATTTTGAGTGGAGAAACACTTTAAACATACAGTACAAGTACTTTTGAAAATAGACTGAGTTCATTTCTTTACAATTTCTCTGGAGTGCAGTCATGTACGAAGTGTGCTTGGAGTCTCCCCAGTCTGTGCAGGTGACACATGCTGCATGTGTTTGTAGCCCCAGTCACAGAGGTACTTTCCAAGAAAATGCCTGCAAGACAAGTGAGAGTAAAAGAGGGTCATTCCTGATTTCCTTTCTTTTGTGAAATTCCCACTCCTCCCCGCTTTCAGTCCCAAATTGGCTAAAGGAGGAGGAGGGTGGTGGCTTCTCCACCATCCCCTCTAACTGCAGGCCAAGGAAGACCAAGGGCTTCCAAAACATTGCGAATTCACTGAACTTATTCCTTTGTAGGTTCAGCATCAGCCGACAGGGTCGGTTATTTTTCCCCCTTAAACTCATGTGGAAATTGGGAAGGTTCTGTGATCCCCTCCTAAGTGTGGTGCCCAGGGGTTCAGGGGACAGGGATAAGAGCATGCTAGAGTCAAGGTCTCCCATATAAAAGGATATAAAAGGGGGAAAGTAATTCAGCAGATGGTTTGAGGGTGAAATCCCTCATTAAAGTATGTCTCACACAGAGAGTAGTCAGGAGATGTTCACTCCCTTCCACATGCCTTGTGTACACAGAAAACGTCACAGGTTTGGGGTGGAGTTGGTAGATTAACACATTGACTCTACGGCAGGCACTTGGTGGGTTCGGTGCTAAGTCTGCTACTTTTGGAAAACATTTCTCCATAAATTTCCATAAGCCAGGTACATGTACAAACAATTCATAAATCACCTTGGATTTGCAGGGAATTTTAAATCCATATAACAACCCAGATTTACCAAGAAGCTATTGTGCACTGCAATAAGATAAAGGATTCAGGTTCCCAGATTTTTTTTTTTTTGGTTGCTATAATATATTTATATCTGTTCAGGCACATTTTTTTGGTATCTATAAAATACCATTTAACAAGTCTTTCCTTCTTTTTAAAGCATATGAACTTTAGTAACTTTAAGCTACTAAATACTGAACAAATATTACCAGTACACAAAGAAATTACTTGTTAGGAAATTGCCTAAATTGCTTTTCAGATTTATTCACTTATTGCTAAGTTTTCAGAGCATCCCTTTCCTCATTGGATATTGAGATAGCTATACAAAACTATCCATCTGTCTGTCTGCCTATCCATATGTCACATTGGAGGAAAGGGGCTTTTATAAATAATGTGGTTCAGTGGAATGGTTAAAGATCCATTTCTTAAATTGCAGCTCTTCCCTTTTTTCTGTGTGGTTTCACTAGCTGCAGCAAACCTTTTCCAAACCCATAACAAGCGTAAATAGTGTTCTCTTGTAAAAAGGTCTCTTTTCAGCATGGTAATATACCTTATTAAATTCCAAACATAATAAGTATTGATGGCAAACACATCAGGACCTAGTACAGCTTCCATGATGATTTAGTTCTCTACAAATGACTTCAGTACTCCGTTCCCAATGCATTTTGCTAATTACATCATAGATTTCCCTGTTGATGAACACAAGCTGAATTAACACAGGAGCACTAATGTACCCTTTCACCATTATTGTTGTACAAGAAGCCCTGGCAGATGCTGGCAGTTAGTTACACAAACATTAGTATTAACGATTGGCCATTTGGAATTGGTGACAAACTACTGCCCAGCAGAATCCTGAGGCTGAAACCAATCAGGAAGTTAATGAGGAGAGAAATTACCACTGCAGCTTCCCCTTAATTACATTCACACTAGGCAGGAAGGGAGGTCTGGGGGTGGATCTAAACTCAGCTAAGGTTAAGAAGGTCAGAGACCCTTTTGCTTAAATTTTGTATCTACTGTGGCTTGTAAAGTTGCAAAAAAGTGTTCAAGACGTTATGACTTTTACATCCTTCATATTTAAGGTAGGTTTCCCAGTACAGTTTTTATGTTCATAGGCTTGTTTTCAAAATCTTTTATCTATTTCTATTTTAGTGTAATATATTCATTTTACTTTCCCCGTTAAAATTTTTCTCATCTATCTACTGCTCTTTGCTTTTTAAAAGTTGTGTATGCTGACACACACCTCACCAGGCTCGTTTCTGGTTGTACCCAAGAGAAGTGATAGGAAAGTTGATTTGCTGTCAGCTTTACCTGCTAGATCTTGCCTGGACAGTGGTGGAAATACATGGGTGGAGTACTGCTTGAGATAAATTTTCAGACTTGGATTACTTGACCAGACAAGTTTCATTAACATCCTTTGCATAAAGGGAAGG